AGGAAGCCAGGCTAAAGATGAGGGAAATCGTTCAGCTGTTGCAGTTCTAATTAGAAGGTTTCAAAATAACTTGATATACTGGTGGATATGAAAGTGTGGTGGGAAGAAGTCCACAGAGATGGTATAGGTGGTGGATGGGATGGGTACTGAAGTTTTGACATTTAATACTGAGTTACTGGTTCTGGTTATTGTTGGTGGAATGTGAGAGATCATGGTATAGAGTTACAGTCCAATGGCTTTGTTGTAGGGAGAGGAGGAGGAATCTAGGCAGAGAAATTATGTTCCTTCACAATCATTTCAGGCTTTGTGACATAAGCTTTTACAGTCACTAATGACAGCAGAGAAACTTCCTTTCTTTCTAATGACAGTCTCTACAAATAATAATTTAGGGTTATTTGGCACATCAACTGACAATGGCATTTTTTGACATCTGTGCAATACAGAATATATGAAAATTATGTGAACTTTCAATTCCTGAAGCTATTTAATGTAAGCGACTGAGGTTTTGAAAAGTCAGATCTGCAATGCACTGTTTGTATTTTTAAAAATTGATTTTTTTTAAAAGAAAGAAATTCATGTAAGCCAAAAAACTTCCACCTCATTCAGATAAGATTCTTTTTTCCTCTCTCTCCAACAAAAGTTGGAAAAAACCCAACTCTTTCATCTCTCAGAAAACTATACTGTTTGTGTCCAATGTTCTGCTTTGCTATATGATCTGGCCATTTTCTCCATTAGTACTGCTGGATACATTGATCATCCAGTATCTAAAAAGGTTAATCATCCCTTTTTCAAAGGAACTGCCTAAAACAAGTGTCCCACCTAAATATCACTCAAGATTTTAAGTTAGTCTTGAAACGTTGGACAGGAAAAAGATCTTCCCCTGTTCAGAAAAGTTTTGGCCCTGCAGTGCTCCTGAGAAACAAGCATTTGTGACCAAGTCTTGCCTGTCTGTCTGTGGTTGTTCTTAATGATGAATTGCTGCCCTTTTTTGAAAAGGGACAATTTGGTGTTTCTTGGTGTTTCAGAGCTGCACTCAGGTCTGGGGCTCCCAATGCAAGAAGGACGTGGACCTGCTTGAGCAAGTCCAGAGGAGGTTGTAAAGATGGTCAGTGGGCTGGAGCACCTCTCATATAAAGACAGGCTGAGAATGTTGGGGTTGTTCAGCCTGGAGAACAGAATGCTTCAGGGATAACTTGGAGCAGCTTCCAGAGAGGGCCTGCAGAAAATTTGGAGAGAGACTTTTCACAAGAGCATCTAGTGAGAGGACAAGCAGGAATGGCTTTAAGCTGACAGAGGCGACATTTAGATTAGACAGTAGGAATAAATTCTTTACTATATGAGTGTTGTGAGACACTGGCACAGGTTGCCCTGAGAGGCTGTGGATGCCCAATTCCTGGAAGTGTTCAAGGCTAGGTTGGATGGGGCCTTGAGCAGCCAGCTCTAGTGGAAGGTGTCCCTGCCTGTGGCAGTGGGGTTTGGGACTGGTTGATCTTTAAGGTCCCTTCCAACCCAAACTATTCAATGATTCTATGATTCGAAAACGGACTTGACAGCCAACACTCTGCTTTTGCATCCAGGTAGCTTCCTTGAAAACTGAAAGCTTCTCACTAGTGCTTTTCAAACCCAGGTAACGAATTTTGTCACAGGAGAAAGACTAAGACTCGGTTACACAGGGAAATGAATGTTTAATTCTTTGTATGCATTTCAACCAAGTGACAAAACGTCAATTTAAAAATCATTATATATCTAATACAGAGGACCTGTATTTGGATAATCAGAAAAAAACAGGTTTGAACTAGTTATGTGGTTTCTGGGGAAGGAAGGTAACAGTCCTATGTTTTGAGACGTGCTTTGTAAAAAAATTAAGCTTCGAACAATATGTCTTTCAAAAGCATCTTAAGACCTGTTTCGAAGAACAACATCTTTTGGGCCCTCTTTTATCTGTTTGGACTAGAGCAGTGCCAGGAAATCCAATGTACATCTTTTGTGAGTCCTTTGCTTTCTTCAGCTATTTTCCTGCTATACGTCTGTGAGTCTGTGAGGTTTGTGGGAGAGAGAAATGTCACACACAGTCTTTACCTTCCAGATATTCTTAAGCTGTCATGTCTGTTGCTTGGGCAACTGCAGTGGTAGCTCTTGTGGCGTCAGCCTTACCTGGAACTAACTGAAGTGTCCTAGTACAAAGAGGCAACCCTCCTTCTGCTTTCTTTAGGAGTTTCTCTTCCTTTTTGGGTAAGCTTAGGTAAGCAGCTTGGTCAAAGTATTGCTTGCATTTGCTGTTTTCTCTTAGAATCATAGAATGATGGAATCATTTAGGATGGAAAAGATCTTTGAGATCAGTGAGTCCAACCATAAACCTAACGCTGTCAAGCTCACCACTAAACCATGTCTCCCTGAGCGCCACATCTATACATTTCTTTTTGCTTTGCATGCACTGATATCACATTTGGATTCCTAAAGCTCTCCTATGTTACTTTAGTATTGAAGAATCCCTTCTGCTGTGCTTGTGGAGCTTCTGTGTGTCTCAGTGGTGTGGGTGTATACATTGCACTTCCTCCTGCCATTGTGTACTGCTGTAATGAAAAGTTTCCCCTGTATTTCCTAAAGAAAGGCTTTCGGTGCAGCTTCCAGCTAAAGCATGGTGGGACACAAGCATTAGTTTGATAATATCCTGCTTTTTGAGCAACCTGGTCTGGTGGGGAGTGTCCCTGTCCATGGCAGGGGGCTGGAACTAGAGCTTTTAGGTCCTTTCCAACCCAAACCATTCTATGATTCTATGATTTTCTTCCCCCATGTAGTGTTAGCAACAAGCAGTGTCTTGTAGAAACAGAACCAGTAATCTGCTAAAGTTTCCCAAATCACCAACAAGTGGGTGGACCTCTGGAGTGCTTGATGGAGCACATGAAACTTTAATGCAACCAGACATCTGCCCCATAGCTCAACATCTCAGGGACATTGATATATTTGCAGAAACTGATGGCACTCTTTGCTCCATGTGATGCCCAGGGTCAGAGTAAGTACTCTAGGTCCTGGCTCTCATCTACACAGAAAGTCTGTCATGTCAGTTCACTCCCACCAATAAACCTGACGGAACACCAATCTTTTGTGTCAGGTCAGAAAGTAAGAGCAGCCAAAATGGTGTGAGAGAAAGCAGACACAACAAATCATGGTCAGAAAGAACACTTTCAAAGCAATTGCTTTACTGGTAAATAGTCTCTTGTTAGGGAAGTACTTTACTTGTTCATAATATTAAAGGACAAAACAAACCACTGCACAGGAGATTAGCTGAAGTATACTTGAACACATCATGATGATGTATTATTAATGTTAGAGATTTTTATCTAAATGATGCATTTTATTATGTATAGCTTTCTTGCTGCTGTTTCCGTGTGAGAAGAGATTTCCAGCTGAAGTAAATAGAATTATAATTATCACTTTATGAATTAGGTTTTCCAAATCTAGGAGGACGTGACTTCTGCAGACCAGCTCTGTGGCAGCTGTAGTTAAATTATTTCTGAAAGTCAACTTGGCTCAATAAGGATGCTTAGAAAGCCTGATTTTTGCTTTAAAACCTCTGTACCTCCCAGTGGAGTGCTGGAAATGAGGAAAGCAGGTGAGTTGTTCCACTGAGTGTGCTTGCTGTTTGTCCTAAAAGCTGTCTTGTGGCTGCTTTTATCTGCCAAGGAGAAATGTTTTGGGGTCTGGGTGACAGTTGCAGGCTGGTCCCACTGAACAGCTACAGTATGTTTGCTGTGATGACAAGTGTGATGAAGCTTTTTGAAAGTTCTAACCAGGAAGGGAGCTGGTGGAAGTCTGGTTACCGCAGGGGGAGATTAAGATGCCCTTTATGACCTGACTGAAGATGAGTCCTGTCAGCTGGAAGAGTAGGCATGGCTAAAACATACCTTTCATGCAAGAATAAAAGAGTGAATACAATGCAACTTCTCTCCAAGCACCCACCTGGGCAAGAAAAAAAAAAAAGAAAAAAAGAGATCCTCTGAACGTGACCTGTTTCTGTGGTGTGGTGGTTTGATCTCAGCTCCCTCCCAGTCACACACTGACTTCAGCCTCCCAGTGAGATGGAGAGAGGATCAGGAGGGAAAAAATATGTGTGTGGGGGTGGGGATGGGAAGTAATTTTGGGTCAAGATAAAAAAGGTTTAGTAAGTAAGGGGGAAAAAAAAAAAAGAAAAAAGCGAGTGTTGCAAAGGCAATCATTTACCACCTCCCACCAGCAGACTGATGCCCATCTGGTCCCCAAGTAATGGCTACTTAGGACAAAACTCCCCCCACCCAGTTTTATTGTTGAGCATGGTGATATGTGGTATGGAATACCTCTTTTATCAGTTTGGGTCAGCAGTCCCACCCCTTGCCCCTCTGTAGACAACTTCCTGGGGAGGGCAGAGTGAGAAACAGAGACAATGAGCAACAGTTATTCAGAAACAGCTAAAACATTGGTGTTTTTGCTATGAACTCTATTTTCATAATAAATCTAACGCACAGCACCCTTTGTGCTGCATGAAGAAAACGAAATCCACCCTAAGTGGAAGCAGTACATGGAGGAAGGAAACTACCACTTGCTGCCACATCAGAGCACACAGCATGGGTACCCTTAAACTGATGGAGATTGCTGGTCAGTGCAGCATAGCTAAGGGGTAGATCTGCAGTGTGGTAAAGCTCTAAGTCTGGTGGGTGGTGCAAGTTGACCGTTGAATTCAGAGAAACCCACACTGGCTTGAAGGCATGTTGCCAAGGTAATTTTACAGCCTTGCACAGTTTTCCTTTCACTAGCTACTGCAAAAGAACAGTTCTTCAAGAACGTGGAAATACATGCTTCTCTACCCACTCATCTCACCTTTGTCTAAAAGCTGTTACTTTTTCACACATCTTTCTCATTTGAAAAAAAAAAGAAAAAAGAAAAAAGAAAAGAAAAAGCAGCAGTATTCACTTGCTTATCTCATGTCCTTTCTTTGTCTTTTCTCTTGCTTCATCTTGTTGCAGGAGTGTCTGAATTTGAACCCACAATTCAATTCTGTTCCCTACCTTTCCCCACTGGTATTCCTGTGACCACCATGGGAGCACAAAGGAAGATACAAAGAAGACAGTTCTCCATTCTTGTTCCAGGCTGGGCTGGCTTAGCCCACCCACCATGTCTCAAGAAACAAAGGAGAGTTCTATGTGCAGGGAGGTATTGATGGCAGCTGCCCACTTTCTCCCTTCCAAGCCCAGCAAAGTGGTTAATACATTGAAGTGTGTACCTTTTTCATTTCAGTAGGACTGTTTGGCCTTAAGTAGACCATGAGATATCATGCTAGACTGAGACCTGCTAAAGAAACACAACATTTTAACTGATTTCCTTTATGTGGACTTCTCTTAAGCAGACACTTGAATTTTGCTACTGCATAGCCCTTTAACTAGTTAGTCTGTTAAAAACACAAAACATTGATTTACGTATAATTTTATTATATAGTATAAATGCAGTCAAGTTTTGATTATGTGTCACTTTTGCATACTGGTATGAAAAATCTGTTTACACTATTGTGTGTTTTCCTTAAACAGACATTCTTGTACTGTTTGAGGATGGGAGTTAGTCTTCTTTCATAGACAATAAGGGAGCACATACAGAAAGAGAACACAAATCATAATCCTTTGTACTTTTAAAGGCTAAAAGTGCTTTCCAGTTATTAAATAGCTGATTCATGTAGCAGGCTAACAAAGAAGTTATGGCTGTCTTATCATTATTATTACACTCATCTTCCAACAGAGGAGAAGCACAAGGATCAGAAGCAGAGTGTTCATACCTCTAGGCCTGTACTTAAAAAAGGTCTTTCAGTCTGGGAAAAAAACCATTGTGCTGTTTATCTTTCTTTTTTGTCTAAGTCAAGTAATGAAATTAGCTGAGACTAAAAATTTTTAGTTGTGCCTCTAAGAAAGCAGAAATAAAGAATTACCTTGTATAAACTGTTTTAAAAACAAGTAAATAGGACAGATTTTCTCCAAATATAAACACTTACATAACATATTCAGGTGAAAAGATACAGTTTTTGTTTCCTGCAACTGTTTTATAGCCAAAATAGGAAAAAGCATGACAGGTTGCCCTTTCCAATTGCCCCCTTAGTTTCCTAATAACCCAAGTTGAGTTCCTTTATTTCTTTTTCTGTTGCCTAGTCACAGGAAATTTGATGGCTCTTGCTGAAACTGATAGAAAATTTCTTGTTTTTCTTAGAAGAGTCTTCTTTCTGCCTTGCCTCTTGCTGAAGATACTCATTGAGAAATCAAAGTAAATTTGACAGCCACCAAAGACTTTTATTTTTGTTTAAGGGGTCATCCACCTTGTCCAAGTTCAATTCAGCACTAACAACATATAATACACGAGCAGCTCCTGAGTATGGGTTAAAGCTGTGAAGCTGCACTTTTCTTCTTCCCACTGGGAAATAAACAAAGGGAACAGCTGTAGCTGAAGTGAGCTTCACAGGGACAAGAAAATATTTACTGTTGTCATAATTTGAGAAGGTGGGTCTTTTTGCAGTCTCTTGTGTTCATTGTCTGGTGAGGTACATGGGTTCTATCTGTAGCAAAATTAATGAGAAAAGTATTTTTTTATTTTAGTGCCACTCCAAAATACACTGAATCCTGAAGTCCACCTTTAGAAGATCATAGAAGGGCTTGGGTTGGAAGGGACTTTAAAGATCATCTAATTCTAACCGTGCGCTGGACAGGGACACCTTCCACTAGACCGGGTTGCTCAAAGCTCCATCCAGCTTGGCCGTGAACGCTTCCAGGAAGTTCTCTGGGCAACCTGTGCCTGTGTCTCACCACTCTCACGGTAAAGGATTTCTTCTTTATATCTAATCTAAATCTCACCTCTGTCAGTTTAAAGATATTCCCACTTGTCCTGTCATTGCAAGTTCAGATATCAGCAGTTGAAGACCCTATTAGAACCAGCAGTTGTGAATATGAGGCTGCACCTACCTGATTGTAGCCTGATATCATGTTCAGACTCAGACTTGAAATGAACAGGAGTTTCTATGTTTGCCTGTTCCTCAACCCCTCTACGAAGTGATAAGTGCATCCAAAGTGCTGTGAGACTTCAAAAACTGAACAGATAATTTGTAAACTGCATTCCTGCAACACAGTATTCTTACAGAGATATCAGTGTACACGAAAGGTGGAGGTATGTTTACATTCTCACTACTGAGCAGTTGTTTCACTGCAGCTATCAACGACATGTCTGTTTTTTCTCTCAAAAATAAAAATGTTATCAGGCTGTTCCTGTCAGTAGGATAAAATACTGTACTTGAAAAGCACTTTTCTTTATCTGCTATAGGAAAGGAAACACCATTAATATGCTAAGGAGAAATGGTTCCCAGAGTTACATTTTCTTCTTCTTAGTCTAACAGCCCTTGAAACTTGGACAAAGCAAATAAGGCATTTTTTACCAAGGCAAGGAATAATTCTTGTGATGAAGCTCTACAGTGAACAATTTTTGAGACAGTGACTCATGAAATTTTTGTCCCTTGGCTTCTAGAGGGGTCATGGTAATACACAGGAGTGAGAATGCTGGTTGTTATGGAAGGGACCTCACCCAAGCCATGCAGCTCCGAGCAGCAAAATTCCTCAAGTACCAACACTTTCCACAATGCCTGAGATGAAGCCCTCAGTGACATGGTTAGTGATGGACTTGCCAGTCCTGAGGTAAAGGTTGGACCTGGTGATCTTAAAGGTATTTTCCAACCTACTTGATTCCATGATACTATGATTCTATGAAGTTACCACCACTGGGCTGAACCCTTAGTGTTTGCCAATGCACAACGCAGGACTGGCTGAGCAGGCAGGCTCTCTGCCAGCTCAGATGGTCGGCAGTCAATGTCCTGCAATCGGGCCACTGGAGGGAGATGAAAGGCCACGAGCACGTCAACAGGGTCATCACACGTCTTCTAACACTGTATTTGTAAACATTTATGCTGTAAACATTTATGCTGCCGTCATAAAGATAATACTAAGTCAGACTAACTGTTGTGGCAAAACCAGGCCACTATCACATGCTATCAACAAACATTATCATGTTAACTTTGCCTTTAGCAAAACTCATGCACGTAGCCCCTTGGGAAAAAAAAAACAGACCAAACCTGAAGCAAAATTCTTGTTGGTGTTTTTGGAACACCAGCAGCCTGTTGATGTTGTTTATAATTGCGGTTCTGTGCTGTGCACATACCATTTATTTTATACTTGTTACTGCTTTACTGTGTTTCACAATGAGGTCCAAAGAAATTGTAAGTAAGTTTTCTGCAAATATCTTCGTTATATGGCACTTTTGGAAATAGCTCTAATGAAGCTCAGCCTGATGGATATTGGTACTGCAGGAAATCAATGTTTTGGAAAGCTCCTGTAAACGTTCCAAATTAATTCAAAAGCAAGAATGCAGACTACAATGAAAACAAAGTGTAAGCTGCTGCTAAGAAGATCATTCAGATAAACTCTTGGTTAGATTTTTCATCTTTAGGGATAATTTTTATCTTCTTACTCTTTGTCTTTCTTCCTTTTTATGTCATGCTCAGCCCCAAAGACATAACGAAAAATTAAGAGACCTCATCACTCCTTTTAATAAAGTAACTGCAGCTATTTGGAAAACTCAAGCTACTGTTGTTGGTAAAAATGTGAATTCCTGTTCTGGATCAGGCAAAAATGAAAAAATAAAATAGCAAACTTGTGACAAAGTATAAGTGTGTGTGCACAAATGTTGAACTATTCTGACAATTTTCATGGAACTGGATCATTTCAATAATCCCAAATGTGAGCCTTTTCAGGATGGACCTGCAGGGAGCTGCACTCCCAAGTCCTTTCCCATGTTTGCCTCCCTTCTAATCTTGCTGTCCAACTAGGGAACAACTCCCATGATACCTCAGTTTATCTTATTTGTGTTAGAGACTAACAAAGAAGGAGGCACAAGTTCTTGGAAGGATGTAAGACGTCTGGAGTTAGAACCTTTGTAGTGATTACCTGGTCAAACACCTTGACACATAGGATACTAAGGAAATATCTAAGCACAAATAGGATACTAAGGAAACATCTAAGCACAAATAGGATACTAAGGAAATATCTAAGCACGAATAGGATACTAAGGAAAAGAGGGAAGCCATGAACAAAACATTCTGAGACACAAACTTGGCAGAGAAATGTACTGGTGACAAAGATGAGAAACAAATCTGGTCAGCCACAGTAATGCATGGGCTATCAAGAAAATGCAGGCAAACTGGGTCATTGCAACTGATAAGGATGTAAAACAGAGGTGCAGGATGCTGGAGGGGTTGGTGGGACTGTGCCATCTACTGAGGAAATGTGCATGGGACAGGAATCAGGCAGGAAGAAGTGGGAGGATGCAGACAGAAAGTGCTGTAAAAAGATATGGTTTTGTGGAAGCCGAGACTGGTCAGTACGTTGCAGTATGTCAGTCTGACTAAGCTTGTTGCCTGGCCACTGCAATCTGTCTTACCTTCTTATTAAATTCTTCCTTAACTAACAGCATAGTCTCACTCTCTATCCCCATGTGTATGGGTGCTGCAAGGAGTAAGTGCCAGGTACTGGGGTGACTGGCATGATGGATTTGGTGCCAGGATCAAGTCTAGTCAGCATGGGTTCATGAAGAGTGGGTCCTTCTTGACCATTGGATATGAGGAACAATTTCTTGTCAGAGAGGGTGCTTAGGCATTGGAACAGGCTGCCCAGGGCAGTGGTGCAGTCACCATCCCTGGAAGTGTTCAGAAACTGTGTAGATGGGGCCCACAGTGACACGGTTTAGTGGTGGCCTTGGCAGTCCTGGGGTAATGGTTGGACTTGATGATCTTAAAGGTCTCTTTCAACCCACTTGATTCTATGATTCTGTTGCAGGAGAAGAATTAAAAAAGCAGAACTCTGTACCACTGTGGCTTGGTGCGACATTGTGTGAATACACATTTTTCTTTAGGGAAAAGTGGATGCTGCTTCTTTTTTTCACTTGGCCTTTTTGTCCTGTGTCCCTCCCTGCTTTTTCCTATATGTATATATGTATAAACTACTCTGTTTACTTTTGTATTCTCACCTAAAACAATAAAAGCATGGCATATGTGTGCTGTAGAGGGACCCTACACACTTTCTTCTATAAGGAGAAAGGCCACTTTCTGCTGTAACCTAAAGAAGTGCTGCTTTTAATCTTTGCTGTAATTGGTAACTGTTGTGTCTGCTTCACTCCCCTGAAAGCAACTGAAAAGAAACCAACCTGGAGTTTTGTTGAAATATCCCTGGATATCCCTAGAGAGATATTTTGGCTCCCAAAGTTGCCCACCATTAATCACTCATTGGTGAAACTAGACCTCAGATTTTTTGTTTGTAAGTGTAAAGTATTCCTGCTTCTGAATGCCATCAAACTAAAACATCGCAGAGAGCCAAATAAGCTGATG